TCTGTTCAATTCAGGGCTAGGGATTTAGCTTAGCAGTGCCACATCGGCCTTGCAAATGCAAGGTCCTGAGTTCAATCCCTGGTACCAAAAAAAAAAAAAAAAAAAAGTTCAACTCATTGGTAATCAAAAACATAAAATAAGATTTTCTTATCTCTCACAATTGCAAGGATCAAAGGAATAAAATTAGTATTACTCAGAGTATAAGGAAATGGTGCAACTTCTCTGCAGGAAAATTTTGTAAAACAAAATACAAGTATCAACAATGTAGATAATTTCTGGATATCAAGATTCCAGTTCTAATTTATCCTAGGAAAATATACAAGTATCAAAATTCGGCTATTAATAAAAAAAAATGTAGGGCTGGGGATGTAGCTCAGTGGTGCTGTGCCTGTCTGTCAAGCACAAGGTTCTGAGTTTGATTCCTGGTCCCCCTTACCCCTATCTAGCTATAAGAATGTTATTGAAACACTGTTAATAATGGGGAAAAATTAGAAAACTAAACCAATTTTTCAAGGACTGGATAAATAAATGATAATACCATATTATTCAAGGTACTATAACCAACAGACTTTAAAATGACATTACTATAAAAGGGAAACTTTACTTATTAAGCGACATGCAACGGGCAACCACTTTTTATTTATTTGAGAGAGGGTGTTGCTAAATTGCCCAGGCTGTCTTTGAATTCTCGATCCTATTTCAGCCTCCAGTGTACTAGGATCACAGGCGTGCACCACCACACACATGTGACTCTTCACAAATTTCATTTAACAAAATATATACATATATTATATATAATCCAGTTATGTAAGTATATGTGACTATACGCACTTTCTCCTCTATAGGAAGAAGTATAAAAGGACAAAAATGTTAAAAATTCTACTTGTGGATAATGGGTTTACACGAGTATCGGTTATCTACCTAACAAATGATACCAAAATTTAGTGGCTTAAACAAAAACATTCATTATCAGTTTCTTTGGGGCAGGAATTTGGGAAGCAGTTTAGCTAGTTGGTTCTGCCTCAGGGTTCTCAAGATGTTTCAATCAAGATGGTGGCCAAGAGCCAGGGAGGCAGCTCAGTGGCAAAGTGCCTGCCTGGCAAGTGTGATGCCCTGAATTAAATTCCCAGTACCAAAAAAAAAAAAAAAAAAAGATGGTGGCCACGAAGACTACCATCACCTGAAGGTGGTGTACTGGGACTGAGGGATTTGCCTTCCAGGAGACCCACTCACAAAGCTGCTGGCAGGATTCCTCAGTCTTTGCCTTATACATTCTTCCTGATGGGACTTCACAACATGGCAGCTGGCTTCCCCCAAGCATGACAGAGTATCTATAATATCTTTTATGACCTACCCTAAAAAGTCACACTGTTATTTCTGCTACATTCTAGGTGCTAAAAACAAGTATTATGAGACACAGTGGTACATGACTGGTAATCCCAGCTATCTGGGAAGCTGGGGCAGGAGGACAAGTTAAAGGCAAATGTTATAGTCAGGATTTGGAAGGGAATACATTTAATACAGGACACATAATTTGTAGGATTATTTTATTAATATTCACCTAAAAAGTCATATGCAAAAGTATACAAGAGATCTGTCAGCACGGCAGAGATCTGAAGAATCCAGACAAAAGGATCTCATGGCAATGTTGCACACAAGTCCAGCCAAACGCCAAAATCCCATGGTGATGTCCTCCACTAGACTAGCTGGAGGCCTAGAGCCCAAAGCAAGGTCTCATGTAAGTCTGTATCAAGGATCTGCACCAGGAAGGCCCAGAGGCCAGTGGTGGAAGCTAGAAAGACTGCGCCAGTGAGGCAAAAGATCTGTGCCAGAAGGCTGAGGGAGCTGCACTAGAGCCAAGAAGCTGTGCTCAAAGCAATGACCAGAGCACCCCCAAAGAGAACACCAGCTATCCTCAACGTAGAGAAGACAAAAACAGCTGAGTGCTAATCAGGAGAACCAGACTCAGCAAGCTTCTCCAGGAAAATCAAAAGATTCCCATTCTTCTCTTATGCCATTCAGGCAACAATCCTCAAATCCATGCCCAGAACCACAATGACTTAATTCAGCTGGGTGCTCCCACTCAAGTTAACTCTTGTGGTATTGCAGTAGGTTAACTATAACCATACCATACTCTTCTAATGTAAATTTGTATTTTAGAATAGTAGCCAGCTGTGCATCTCTGTGCCTTTCCCTAAGGGATACAGGAAGCAATCTTTGTGTTTACTCACTTGTGACAAAGTGCAGTATGTGCACCTGTGCAAAATGTCAAACTGGGCCTTTCACCCACATTATGCTCCACCTAACAGATTCTGCATCACACAGGATATAATATAATACAGCTTACCACTCTAGGATTTATTTTTTAAAAAGTTTTCTTTTGATTTTTCTGGCACAAGTAACTTAATTCTGAACAATGGCACATGAAAAACCAGATTTGCAAGTTTTTGGAGGAGGTCAAAAGTGAATCATCAGCTTACTCATGCATGGATGATGAAAATGATCCATTATGGTAAAACACATGGTTTCATAACAGAAGAGTGGTGTGGGTGGATGATGATGATGATAATAACTTTGACGTTGGCCATGTGAGCCAAAGTTCCTGTGACAGTGAAATGGAGCAAGAATCGACTAATACAGACAAAGGGAATGAAGACCTCCTTGATTCAGATGATAAAGAAAATAGCAATATGAGTGCATATTTGACATTAGTCAAAATGTTGCAAAATGGTCATGCAACCAAATGGAACAACCCAATGTTAGAACTAGGTCCAAAAATAGAGTGAGGACCTTGGTAGGGGTGAAACCTATGGGACAGAGTGCCAGAACTGCCATTCAATATTGGAAATTGTAACAGATGACATGGTACAAGATGTGAAATACAGAAAGGCTGAAATACAAGTAAAATGTTCTAAATTCACCAAAAGCCATACTTAGAGATATATTTATTATAATACCTCATGAGCTGGTCTGCTGTACTTAGCAGGGCTTTCTCATGGTAATTGTAGGATTATAAGACTTATGGAAAAGCAAGGCTGTATGCTTGCAGAGTAACAATGTCACTGAGGAGATTTGGTTTCCCTCAAAATTGCCTGAGGTCTGGTCACAAAACCAGCCACAAGAAAGAAAAAGAACTGGTAATCTGGCTTCTATTTGGTAATTGACAGATTTGTAATTGCCAAACAATTTACATACCATTTGAATACATGACTATTGATGAACATTTTGTAGCATTTCATAGCCACTGTAGCTTCAAAATATGGCATAAAATGTATGCCCTTATAGATGCAAAGACTTATTAATGCTTTCAATTTATCCTGGAACTCAGCCACCAGGTCCTTATTCATATAGTAATAAACTGAATGATGCTGTTAACAGACTTGTTGCTCCCAATAGAGTGCTACTGGTATTTTCACTGTAGTTCATACAGGTTTTTATTTCCGAAATCAATTGTTGAAAATTTTGATGTTTTATAAACACTCAATAAGTATTAAAAATGCAGTATTTTATTTTTGTGATTTTTCCTATTAAGCACTCATTGTTTAATATAATAAAACTAATAAAATTAAAATTATAATCAATAGAAATATTCTAAAGAAAAACCATGGGTTCGATACACCCATGTTTATGCATCTTTATGATAAAAAATGTGTTATGCTCCCCTCCCTAATCTACCACAGCCAACTGGGACAACTTTGCTAAACTATCTTAAAATAAAAACTAAGGTGGGTGTGGCAGTACATGCCTATAATCTCAGCACTTGGGCGGCTGAGGCAGGAGAATCACCCCAAGTTCGAGGCCACCCTGGGTTACACAGTGGGTTCAAATCCATCCTGAACTACATAGTGAGACCCTGTCTCAATCAATACTCACTCAATCAATCAACTAACCAACCAGGCTGGCCCAGTATACATGATGCCCCAGGTTCGATTCCTAGTAATGAAAAAATGAAACAAACAAACAAACAAACACAGAAAACAAGTCTTTCAGTCCAGCTCTTACTCAAGGGGAGAAGAACTAAGCTACACCTCTTGAAGGAAGAAGTATTTGTTCAGTTTGTGTACTATTCTGAAATCCCAAAAGGTGATTAGTGGCATATCCAGAAAAAATATATAATTTATAAATGAAAAAGTAAATTTCATTGTACATGTACATATATACACATGCACATATAAAGGCATAAAGAGACAACTTGAAAATACTCCATAAGAATAACGTGTCTTCCACAAAAGGTGACATAATCTAGGTTTGAATAACAGAAAAATGGCATCCAGAACAAGTTCTGTGATACTCTGTACCATTTAGGCCACATCCAGAATATCCTGTTTGGCTCTGAGTATATGTGAAATGGAAAATGAACAAACTGGAGTTCTCCATTTCAACAATCAACTTTAGAAAGGAAAAACAATCTGGAGGGAAACTGGAGGTGTTTACCTTAAAGAGGTAAGACTTAAGAGGGAGAGGAGGAGTAGGGTATATCACAGCATTCTACAGTAATGGTTACCATGTGGAAAAATTAAGAGCTAAGAGGTAGAACTTGAACCATGAGTCCAGTCAGGGGTCAATGCACTTTAACATGATGAAGAATTGTCTGACAATTAGAATTGATAAAACAAACCTTGAGCCATTCACGGAATTTCCCAAATGGCTGCAGGAGAAATATACACAGCCAACGGGGGCACAGGGCTGCCTCTCCCTCAGTTATGCTAAAGTTCATGTCTACATAGGTCTTTCCCTATTCACACTGGTACGGCTGGTGTCAAAACCAACTCCATGGCCCTTGTCAAAGCAGTAACAAGACAACAGGACCAAAGCCATGAGGTATAAATCAAACACCTGGCACATAATACAGTAAGTCCCTGAGTTATGAACATTTGAGTTGTGAACTTTCACAGATGCACTATACAGGATTCACAGGTGTACTGTAAAGACTCACTTTGTGGGATTTCAAATGAATCTGATTTATGAACAGTTTGTACTTTATCAATGTCAGCTATTACCTGTTCTGATTCAGAGTATGACAGGCTGCTCTGTAAGGTCCCTTCCAATTTCTGAGACTACAAAAAAGTTAAAGAAACTATCACTATTAATTCTGATGGTCAGCTTTAGTAATAATATAAATACTTAACAATAGGAATGACAAAATTCATCTTCAAAGGTAGAATGGTTGGACATGCTTTGGAAACCACACAGAACAGAGGCAGACACTTATAGAGTACAGATATATAAAAACCACAAAATCAAAATGAAACATATTCAAACAGGTCATATCTTCAGTGGTGTATGTGGTCGGCTTTTTCTAAAATGAAGTCACTATATATATATATAAATACATATATATTTGTGGGGTTTTTTTGTTTTGTTTTTTTTTTTTTTTAGACAGGGTCTCACTATGTAGTTGAGACTAACCTGGAACTCACTATGTAGCCCAGGCTGGTCTCGAACTCACAGTGATCCTCCTGCCTCAGCCTCCCAAGTGCAGGGATTATAGGCATGTGCCACTATGCCTGGCTATATATGGTTTATTTTGAGACAGAATCTTGCTATGCAGTTCAGGGTGGACTTGAACTCACAATGTAGCCGAGGCTGGCCTTGAACTCACAATAATCCTCCTGCCTCAGCCACTCAAGTGCTGGGATTACAGGAGTATGCCATGGCTGGCATGAAATTATTTTAAAAAGGAGACTCAAAGTGGGCTACTTCAACTCCTCAGAGAAAATTAAATTATTACAATTAGATTACTCACCCATGCTTGCAACTACCCACCACAACTGAAAACTTACTTTTTGGGTGCCAGCAGCTTGGATATTCTGCCATGTTGCTACAGGCTCTGTAGCTACGTGCCACTCTGGGTAAGTTTTCATGAGTAACTTCACAAAGGTAGACTTTCCCACAGCTGTAATGCAAACACCATGTATTGGGATTGTTTTCAAATCAAGCTAAAGAAAGATAACTACACTCTACCATGAATGCTCCACTCAAGGGGCAGGAGTGCCAGCAGCCATACTGTCGTCAGACGTGATGATGGGTCTGGCCATGCTACTAGAGTCATTATAATGAATACAGGCAACAGAGAAGAAAAATTCCTTCAAGGTTTGACTGGCAATTTAAAAGTCTCCACCTCCCAGAGGCAAACATATCTTAATAGAGCTGAAAATGTAACATCCATCAAAAGTGGATGAAATCAATTACATACATCATAAAGTTTAAACCATAGCTCAGGAGGTCAGGGGATTCTCTTTTGAAAAAATATCTGAGGTAAGACCTGAAAGATGAGGAATTAGCCAGGCTAAGAATGGAGGAAGGATAATCTATGCAGAGGGTGGCATGAACAATGGTGTAAAAGGAGAAAGAATTTGGTAAACAACTAAACAGAAAAGTATGAAGCTCTGGAATAAGCTAGCAACATTACAGCATGAGTGAATGAGGAAGAACAGTAGCTTGACATGGGGGAAGCCAAACAGACAAGGAGTCCAAGGCCAGGTCACACAGGACCTGGCAACCATTGTAAGAAGGTCTGATTTTTATTTTAAGGCAAAAAGGAAGTCAATGACAATGGGTGTTAGGCAAAGAAATTGAAAATTCCTTCCCATTTGTAAAGGATCACTCTGGCATCTGTGTAAGAATGGGCTGAAACAGGCAGATCAAAGGATAACAGTAGCTTACTGAAGGAGATGGATGAAGAGGATGGAAAGTAGTGGTTGCTTTGAAAAATATTTAAGAATGTAATCAACCTAGTACCAAACACTCAGGTCATCTTTTGTCATTTACACCAGTATCTGCTCATATCTCCCCTGAGCTCCAGACAATGCCCTCCAGAAAGCTCCATTTGGGCATCCCATGAATCAAAGTCAATATATTCCCCAAATGAGCTCACCATTCTTCTCATCAAACTGGGCCTCCTCCTGTATTCAACACTTGGGTTATAACAGTATCATCCACTCACAGTCAGAACATCTTTCTCCTCTGCCAAATCTCAAGTAGCCATTAGTCACTTTGCACTTGCTGCCATCTTTTCCCCATCTGCTCTTTTCTCTCCACTTATACCTTCATGCTCAAGACCAAGTTCTCATCATCCCATGCATCTCCAATTCCAGCCTTATTCTACTCATCCCAACCTCCACACTGCAGCCATACTGCACAGAAAACACTGCTTAAAATACTTTAACAGCCCCCAATAGCCTTAATGATAAAAATCGGAACCATTAGCATAGTCTCTGAGATGCAAGATCTGATCTTTGTATATGCCTCTTCCACCTCAGCTTTCCTGTACTCCTACTGGACTAAACTCCTCACAACTTCAATCATATCATGTTTTCTCCTGTAAATGTGACTTGGCATTCCTCTTCTCCTCACCTGGCCAACTCCTACTCAGTTTTCAAGGTTCTGATCAGAAGACCCTTCTGTGTGAAGGCTTTCCAGACCCTGATGCCTCTCAACTGGATTCCTCTGTGTTTGGCTTGGTATTCTGGGGGTGAGACTCCATCACTGCAATGATAACTATTTCTTCAGGTAGAAGATAAGGCTCCTGCAGGGTAGAAAACAAAGTCCAGTCTAATGTCCTGGCTTAACAAATAAGACACACAACACAATAATTCTGGTTCCCTCTGACACCTATATTTGTGAAGAATTCCCAAAAATGAACCTTCAGTGTATTCAGAGTTCAATCACTTCTATCAGAAGTCCTTCTTCCGTGAGTTTTAGCCTCCAGAGGAATGCAAAGAGAATCAAGGGAAAGAAGTGGGAGGAACATTTTTAGTCAATTTTATCAGCCACAGTGGTTACTAATCAGGAGTGCTGATGTCTCAGCACAAGAGCCCATACATCCAATATGTGACATTTATTACCACCCCAAATCCTCTCAGAATAACAGGATAAGAACAATATGAATGTGTGCATTTTGTAGTCATGCCCTTCTCTCAGTCCCCACTCCACCCAATTTGTATGTGCCTTTTCATTTGGCTCTTCGTACACTAGTGAGTAAGTACCTTCTCCTGCTCTTCTATACCCATGCCTAAATCTTTTCCCCTGCCAAGGCCAAGGTCTTCCCTCTTCCATGAAGTTCAGGACTTCTCTAGCTCACGACAAACCAAGGAAAAGAAGTGGGAAGAACCCTTTTAGTCAATGTTATAGCCACAGTGGTTACTGATCAGGAGTGCTGATGTCTCAGCACAAGAGCCCACACATTCATGCTGGTCAGTTACCAACTGGTTGAGTTTGTATATTTTCAAATACCTGCCTGCCCTGACTAGGCCCTAGCTTAAAAATTTTTGGCCTGGTGATTAATATTTGGGTTGCAGGTTGTTCAATAAATATGAAATATGGTCCCTGCCTACAGGCTGAAAAGCTACTTTAAATAATGTAGAAAGATAAAGGTAGTTGATTTGTTGAATGGTTAGGAATGAACATTAGAATTGTTGGCATTTTTTTAAAAGTGAAAAATGGGGAGGGGAGGAGGGGGTGAAGGGAGGGCAGAGGTAAGGGGAAAAAATGAGAATCAAGACTTGTCATGTAGAGGTACAAGATCCCAACAATGAATGTGACTGTACTGTATCCCTAAAATGTACCAATAAACTCAATTAAAGCTGAAAAAAAAAAAGTGAAAAATGATTACCGAAAATACTGTTAGAAGGGAAGGGCTCTGAGGGCTAAGCAATGTCAACTTCACCTCTGAGATCAGACACTATTAGTTCATCTAAGGGCAGGCTGGACTCAGAATCCAACTCATGCCATTTAAACACACAAAGCTCAGAATGCCAACAAAGTAGATGTAATGGGAAAATATATGATTCCGATTCCTGGAACAATCACTTCTGATACCCAGAGCACTCTGGACCCCATTCCCATTCCAAGGCTTCTGGAAAACCAATTTAGTAATCAGGAGCCAGTTTCAGCACACAATGACATTAAGCAGTGGTGGAAGGTCCTGAGAGATGGCCATCCATGTTGCAAGGACTGGGAAAACCTAGGTAATTTACCACAAGGCAATGAATACTTCCTAAATGAATTCCACTGGAATTGAGCTGTGCTACCCAGAGATGTGGATTAAAAAATAATAATAATTCAAAGTTTATTTATACTACAACCAGAGAAGGGCTAGGGATTTAGCTCAGTGGCATTACACCTGCCTCACAAGCGCAAGGACCTGAGTTTGATCCCTGGTATGGAGGTTGGTTGGGGAAACTTGAGACAGTATTCCTTTTCCAGTGCTGTGGTATCAGAAAAGGTTTCTTCTTGCTTGGGCGTCTTTGTTTTATCAAAGACAAATGTCTTCATGTGTGCCCAATTTAAAGGTGCTTAGAAGAGCAGTGATTTGGTTCTTCCTAGTGACCCATGAGTACAGAAAGCTTCACTTCCTCTGGCTATTGCCTCTTATGATACCCTTAACTCAGACTTAGCACAAATGAGTTAGATGCCAGCTTAATTATTATTTTTCAATATATAGTAGAGGCTTAGAGGTTTGATGAAGTTTGTGAAGTAGGATAACCTCACAAGCAGCATTAAACCTTCCCTTGGGCCTTGGTTTTTAGGGCACTTTATTTTTTGTGCCATGACTTTAAAGAATGTTGGAAGTACTTTCTTACAAGCACATTACTTCAACACACTGAGTTTCGTTTTGTTTGGTTTGGTTTGGTACTGGGAATCGAACTCAGGACCTTGCGCTTGCGAGGCAGGCAGCGGAAGCACTGAGCTATATTCCCGGCCCAACACACTGAGTTTCATTAGCTCCTAGAATGTCATTCCATAAGTTAGACCAAGGAGCTCCATTATCAATATTCATCTTTTCTCAATCCATGGGTTTTTCTTCCCACAAGTTTTTCTCTGAATTACAATATTATGGCTATCAATATATTATGCTAAAATCCAGCAGTAAGAAGTATCTGATGTAAAACCCAAAATAATATAATTACAGCCATAGCTACATTATTCTAAAATCTAGTATCAAGACAGTATCTGATGTAATACCCAAAATTATATATTCCATTATTTAAAATTTAACACAGTTGTATTTCGTAGCAATTTCTTAAATATACTGTCACCTCTAGGCATTTTCTCTTCCTAAACAAGATTAAAGACATGAGAAAAAAAAATCCAATTCTGAAATCCTTAACCAAAAGGCAGTAAACATAAAACTAGTATCTTAAAAAAAAAAATCTCCCAAAGGAAATTTAGTCTATTCCAGTGACTGCATTTGATGCTATATCCATTCAATCAATAGATATCTATGGAGAAGGTACTAATGGCAGGTACTACAGCTAAAATGACAAACTAGGCTGAGATCTTGCCCTCAAGGAACTTATTCTTTCCCAACCTAGAGACTAAGTACTCCGGATCATACAGGCTCTGAGCTTAGAAGTATCCTGGGCAAACAAATCAGTCAGCATGCTTAAAAGAACTTAGTTCCTTTTATTTTCTTTTCATGGGAAATTATTTACTGGGAAAAAAATTAAAGGGTCTTCACAGCTTCCAGAGTATGATGCAAACTTACTCATTCAGCATGAAAGAGCCTCACTGATCCAACATGCCCTCCTCCCTCACTCTGCCTACCCAGTGATTCATCTTTCCACTGCCACTTTCGCTGTGAAGCCTTGAACTCTCTCCAGCTCCATTTCATCCACAGGCAGAGTTAATTACCAACTGCTCTGGCTTACCAAGGTATTACACTGTAATTATTTGTTCACTCATCACTCTCTCCAGCTAGACTGGGAGACTGCTTTTGAAGATACAGACTGTACCTTACTGCCTTTGTATCCCGAGTATCTAGCTAAGAACTAAGAATATAGGTGGATGGATGGAATGAGGCCAATCACAGAAACAAAAAAATCCAGTATCAATGTTTGAAATAAATAGGTTCTCCCTGCCCCCAGGATTCTTTGGACAATGTACTCAATAAAAGTAAAAGATGTATTAGTGATGGTAATATCTAATTTTAAGTTCTGGAAGAATAGGAAAGGTTTATTTTGCTTTATGTACAAGTCCCTAGACTGAAAAGAATAAAACAGTTTCCTCTTGTCTGGCTGGGTCTTTGAGAATGGTCACAGATTCACTGACACATATTTCATAAAGCAATCCTTCAATTTAGGTTTGTATTCATAGAACAACTGGCTTTGGATGATGATAATACACTTCAATGATGAATCATATTAAAAGATAGGCTAGCTATTCTATTTTTTAGATGTGAAGGGTTCTAGGAACCAAGCTTTTGACTTTCAGTTACTCACTGCATATGGTTTCATAAGTCATGCAAAATGCCATGGATTGCTACTCCACTGATCTATTTTCATCCAGGCTGCTGTCTGTAACTGTGGGATCACAGTAACAGGAGCTAGACTGGCAGGACTACAAGAAATGTCCCTTTAAATGTTATCTAACTTCTTAGAGGACCAGAGTTCACCTTCTCCTTTTCAGGACTCCCAAATGGGTACTCTCATCCCAATTTGTTTCAGGATGCCACCTGTGACTGGAGAAAATATTAACTCTTGACTTAAAAAACAGGATACAGTTGAGTGTGGTGGCTCATACTATAGCCCCAATTAGGCAGGAGGCTGAAGCAGAAGGATCACTCGAGCTCAGGAGTTCAAGACTGGTCTGGGTAACATAGTAAGAACAACATATAAATCTTCATCCAAAAAAGTTTAGTATATTTCCTCTATGGGTACCAATGACTAACTTTCACATGGATATCACAGAATAGGATTCAAGAAGCTGGTAATCACTGAATGAGTACAATGGGCCAGTCCAGGGATACCGTGCCTGGGATACAAAAATGAATAGGACACTGGGTGACTCCAACCTAGGGGTGTTGAATGTTCAAACAAACTCAAAAGATCTCAAGTGCTGCCACAGCTCTGGATACAAAATGTTATGACATCCCACAGAGGAGTTACTAATTCTGTCTGAGGGTGTCAATTGGGGGTGTGGGGTGATGGAGAATAATGGGAGATGAAAGTAAAAGGAGTCATATTAAGTCCCCCAATCCACTTTGCATCACACTTTCCTTGTCAGCTGCATTCACTTCCAAGGCTTTTCAACAACCCCCATCAGACAACATCTTCCATATCTGAAATCTCAGCCTTCATCTCCAGACTCTATTGACTTCAGACAGATTCCAATAGGCCCAAGGATATGTCTCATAGGCATCTCACACAAAATAGGCCATTTTTATCACTCCCAGACCACCTCTTCCTTTACTCCCTCCTCTGCTTTTATTTATTTATTTTGTACCAGGGATTGAACTCAGGACCTTGCACTTTCGAGGCAGGTGGCAGAACCACTGAGCTAAATTCCCTGCCCTCCCTCCTCTGCTTTTAGAGCTAGTATCCAAATTATAAACCTTCTTTTGTATCATCCTCCTTTTCTTCTCTTTATCCATCACTTCCAAGTAGCCACCAAGTCCTGTTAATACCACTTCCTAAATCTCCCTCAAATCTTCACTTCTCTGGCCCTTCTGTTCCTCTGTTCAGGACTGCATCCTTTCTTCTCCAATTATTGCAATAACCACAAAACTAGAGTATTCCAATTTATTTATTCATTTGATAAACAAATGGGATGCAAAACATTATGGATACTTCTGCAACAAGACAAAGAAAATGTCTGCTTTATGGAGCTTTCTATTCACTCATTACAGCAAATTTCCTTCTTAACATTAATCTACTCATCATACATACTCACTTCAAGTCTTCCATTGCCTATTGCCAAAAGAATAAATTCCTAGCATGGTCTATAGTCTCTTCAATACCTGGCATATCCTACCCTCCCTTTGAAACTCTGGCTCTGCCACCTTCTCAGGGGACCCTTAAACTCCAAGCACATTCATTCAAACATTTTCCTTTTCTCAAAACTGCATGTACTTCTTCACCCTTCACTGTCTTTGCAAATGTTACCTCCTATGCCTGGAGCACTTTTCCCTCTTCTTTTCTCTCTGGGAATTCCAACTGAAGATTCTGAGTTTCTATGCCCAATCACAGATCTCATCACACAGTATGGAAATCATACAGCTTCTGCCTTCAGCTGTGAGCTCTTTGAAGAGCAGGAGCTGTATTACATTCACTGCTGTGCTCAGCATGAGGGTAGACTCATAGCAGCTGCTCAGTAAGCCTCTCAGGCATGAGAAAGCAAGAAAGCTGCACAGAAATTTGGCCAGGTAAGGAAGCAAATGGGAGCTCAAACTTTACTGATGACCAAAGTACTTATTTGTGAAGTACTTCTGGGGTCTGAGAACAGAGCTTTTTTTGAGGATGAGCTTCTCAAAATACAGGATAGAACATCTTTAAGTAACACCATCTGGCAGGTTGCAGAACTTTCCTTTCTCATTCTTTTCAACGTTTCTCATCTGGCTGGAGGAAAAAACACACAGCTGTGGGTGACTAGTCTCGATTTACATTTAAGACCATTAATTTCAAGTGGGTCCTTAGCGCTGCCTTGCAATTTGACAATTCTCTCACTCAATTACAAGACAATTTTGTCTTCTCCTCTTTCCTGGAATTCACTCATAACCTTTCTGCCTATTTCACTGTAAAAACTAACACAATCAAAAAGACTTCCAAGTTCCCAGCACACCTGCCCGAGTCAATTCATATGTTCGATCATCCCTCATGCCACCAGGGATAAACTGTGCTCCTAGCCAAGGTTAAATTCAGGCCCTTGCACTTGGGAGGCAGGTGACGGAACCACTGAGCTAAATCCCCAGCCCTACAAGACCATTTCTATTAATTTATCAACATGTACTCATTCCTCTTGAAAAGAAAAACAGAATTTAAAAATTCTCAAACTCTCTTCCAATTTCAGAAACCACCCCATGACTTCTCTTTAGGAAATGTTCCAGTTGTCTTAATTCTGTCTCCAATTCCTCACCCGCCATTCTCTGTGTCTACACCAATCAGGCTTTTACTCTAAGACCTTCATTTACTGAAACAGTATTATACAATTGATCATTTCCCCACTCTGAATACCCTCCTTACTTGGCTTTTAGGGTATTATTATTATTTTTTTTTGCCTCCTATCGCAGTAATCACTGCTTGTCAGTCTTGTCTACTTGCTCCTTCCCATCTCCCCAATCTCTTAGCATCTCTATGTCCCAGCCCTCAGTACCTTCCATGAACACAGTCCTGGTTTTAAGTATCATCTGCATGTACAGCTCTAATCCAGGGATTCTCTGAATTCTAAACTCATATCCAACTGTCTATTTAACACTTCCATCTGGATTTCAAACAGGCATATAAAAGCCTAACATTAGGCTTAAAACATAAATCTTGACACCCACTGATCTGTTCTTCTCTATCTTCTCCATTTAACAATATCTGAACTCTATCTTTCAAGTTGTATAGCCCAAATTGGGAGTCATTAACCCCTCTCTTTATCTCACACAATCTGTCACCAAATCCACTAGCACTACTTTCAAATGTGGCTTTCATCTTGGTCTATACCTATCATTACAATGTCCTAACACCTTCTACTTTCAAATATCAGCCAGGTGATTGGGGGGGGGGGTCACTTGACTCCTCAAACCATCCAATGGCTTGTCCCAAACAGATAAAAAGCCCATGGTGGACACTAAGGTCTACACAATCTGGCCATCTTTTACACATCTGACCTCATCTCTCTCCACTCTCTCCTTTACACTTCTCCAGCCACAATGGGTTCCTTTCTATTTCCTGAGCACTTTTTCACCACTTTTCTACTTGCTCCTCCCCTTTCTTGGAAGATGCTTCTGGTTATCCACATAGTTCACTCTCTCATTCTTCATTTTTATCAAATTATCACTTTCTCTGTGAGGCCTTAACCACCCTATCTTAAATGACAACTTCCCTCAATCCCTCACCTGATTTTTCTCCATCATACTCATTGCTAACATACTGTGTACCTTGTTCAAAGTATCATTTATTCTCTCCCCCCCCCATTAGAGTTCCATAAGAGCAGATTTTTATTCTGTCCACAGTTTTATCTTCAGGACCAAGAACAGTACTAGCATATATAAGCTGCTCAAAAGGTGACTTGTTGAACGAATAAAATGAAAATTTTGCTTGCTGCTAGAACGTCTTCAGTTTTCAAGTGCCTTATGGCTCAGTGCCTTTGCTAGGCAAAGTATCAAGTCAGAATTCAGTAACATTAAGTCAAAATGTTTTGCTTTCATTCGCTTTTTCATTACTTCTAAAATACTGAGTCTCTTGTAACAAAACTGTCTTTATTCTAATACATACTTTTAAGTTTTAAAAGTGATACAGTCCAACTAGCACAAGGACATGGCAAAAACAGTAAAAGTGTTAACTGAATGACTGAAGTTTAGGAGCTCTTCGAGTTAAGAGTTGCCAGATAGAATATTAGAAGATATCCAGTTAAAAGACAACTGTAGGGCCGGAGATTTAGTTTAGTGTTTCTGCCACCTGCCTTTCAAGAGCAAGGTCCCAAGTTCGATCCCAGGGACAAAAAACAAAAACAAAACTGTACTGCTGTACTGTTCGTCCCTTCTAGTTTAACCTTCTAATAAAACAACTAGAGTAACTGTTCTATCTATAGCCTGCGTGGCTTTTACACCCCCAAAAATGTGTTTCTTCGGGCAAATACTGAGGGTTGGGTTTTAAAAGTCTAAGCAGCAAAGATCCACAGTGCTCTATGGGAAGAGAAGAGCCCTGAAATCTCAGAACAAGCCGGCCACTCAGTCTCCTGAGACCGGGGATGAAGGGAGGATTCCAAGCCCAGTTGCCTTTCCCAGACTCTCAAACACCTGCTTAGCAGTGGCCAAGGCTTGGCAGTCACTTTCTGGCTCTTACCAATGTTGCCTTCGATGGACAGCCTTCGGGGCTCGCACCCCGCGTGCAGGCCCCTGGAGGAGGGCACGCCCTCGAGTGGCTTCTGGGCCATGGAACTGAAGGGCGTTCGAAACCGACTTAGAAAGAGCCGCACAGGTGCCATCCTACCCACGCTTAGCGGAGGCATCACTTCCGCCGAAAGCACTTCCGCCCTAGGTACCGCTGTTCACGCTGCTCACGTGCGCCTCTGACGTCAGGCAAGCTCTGGGCAGGAAGTGGGTGGGTTGAGCTGGAGGAGAAGGAGGGGGCCGGAAAAAAAAAACCGTCAGTTCTCGCGATGTTTTAGAAAAGCTTTGAAAGAAAAAGGTTTTATGTAGGTGTACGGAAGTTTGCTGTTAAGTGGAGTTGCAAGGTGGTAACCGGCCTTCTGTTTTTCTTTATTGGACAAATAACATTTTAAAAGAGAGATAATCCACAATCATCACTTTTGCGTTTTTCTAGACAAATAAAAATGAGTAATTTTTAAAAGGTTATTTTAACCCAGGTATTTGTTGTCTATTTTTTATTCTAATAAGGGAAGAAACTGAAGGGTTTTAAGCAGGAAAATAACACAATCTGATGACAGAAAATCACTTTTTTGTTTTCTTTGTTGTTGCTGTTGCTGTTAATTTTTGGTACCAGGGATTGAACTCGGGACCTTGCGATTGCGAGGCAGGCGGCAGAACCACTAAATCCCCAGCCCTACAGAAAAATCACTTTTTCCAATTCTCTGTAATTCCCAGCACAATGATGGCATATTATCGAATAAAGTAACAAATGAGTTCATTGATTACATCCCATCTTTTATTTTGCTTCCGGAATAAATAAATGTTCGCTCAATTGATTTACGTAATAACCAAAGAATCCCATCCAAAAAAAGGCGGTGGAGGCTCAGGATGACTGGGACTCATTTAAGCCTGACAGTTTGGGTTCTGTGGGCGGGGTGAAGTGCAGGGTGAGATGGGCGGTGGGGGCGTTCAGAATGAGGTTTGTAAAAGGATGAGAAGAGCCCAGAGTAGAGACGAACAGGTGTACAAAACCCGTATCCTGCTATGGGTAAACTGTGCACCGCGGAGAGACAGGGACTTCAGCTGCACACCCAACGTCAAAACAAACTGAAGTAATGATTTACAAAATATTGTCAGTAGTTCACTTCCAGTCCCCATTGCTTAGACCACTGGAGTCAAATCTGGAGAAGCCAAAACAACAACAGGCAGCACCTGCAAGTAGGAGGTTTTAGGAGACTGGGCTCTGGTTTCAGGGTGGTTTGGGAAGGCCTGTGACTTCTGTCTTGAAACTGCATAGAAAGCATAGTCCCTTTTTCTTTTTTTTTTTTTCTCATTGAGTTTATTGGTACATTTTAGGTATGCAGTACAGTTACATTCATCATTGGAAGCTAAGTGTGAAAGCCAGAAGCCTTTTTTTTTTTTGTACAGGGGATCGAACTGGGGACCTTGCACTTGCAAGGCAGGTGGCAGAACCACTGAGCTAAATCCCCAATCCCCTTTTTCTTATATTGATGTTATATGAGATGGCTAAAGTTACATCTGTATATTAGGCATGTTATTTTTTAAAAACAATGAAAATTTGTTTCGGACAACATGGGTGAGGCACTGATGAAAATCAGAGTAGCCAAAGTCCATCCATTCCCACCCCCACTCCTGCAGCCACCTTTGTGTAAAAATACTGCTTACATTTCTTTGCCGGTGTAAACTTGACTTGGAAAGGTTCATGCAAAAAAGTTAGGCTCTCTATATACTCAGGGTTGAGCTACCTCAGGGTCATTGTGAAGGTCAAATGAGGAAATTGTAGATTGAGGTGCAGACAGGCAACTAATCTGTTCCTGATTTCTATGGCCAAGGGATAACAGCAAAGATCAGTTTTGCTGCTTCTGTATATAAATGAAATAATCTAACACATACTTTCACTGAACATATTATCTGTAAAATTCATCTATGTTCTATGTAGTATTTGTAGTTCATTCCTTCTCACTGCTACAGAGTATACCCCTGTGTCATTATAGCCCAATGCATTTTATCCATTCTACTACTGATAAACATTTGGGAGTTTCTAGATATGAGCCATAATGAACAATGTTGTTATAATATTCTTGTGTGCGTTTTATTAACAAAAATATACATTTCTCCTAGATATATATCTAGAAATGCAACTGTTGCATGCTAAATTATATGCATATTTAGTTTAAGTCAATATTCCCAAGTAGCAAATAGTTCCACAGTGTCTGACTATCAATTGACAAAGACACCGTCAGTGACCGACAGTTCTGGTTGTTCCACATTTTGATCAACAGATGACTTTGTCAACATTTTTTTTCATTTTATCCATTCTACTGGATGATGCCTTATTACAGGTTTAATATTCATTTTTCCTGATAATTAATGAAGTTGAACATCTTTCTACTGGCCATTTCAGAATCCTCTGTTGTGAAAGATATGTTCAAGTTTTATGCTGATTTTTCTATCAGTTTTCTTTTACTTGTTTTGATGTGTGTGTGTGTGTGTGTGTGTGTGTGTGTTCTTTATTGTTCTTTGGATATGAATGCTTTGTGAATATTTTTTCATTCTTTAGGTTGTTTCTAAAAGTTTTTATTTCTTATTTTTTATGTAAGTCTAAGTTAATCTAAAATGTTGTTTGCCTAATTGCTTGTAAATTATTCAAATACTATCATTAGTAATGATTCTTCTATCTTCCTTTAGTTATTCATATTTCTTTGAATATACATTATACCATGCATAAAGATTGGATATATCTCCAAATTCCTGGGAGAATCCAGCTAGCCCTGCTGTGGTCAGGCATTTAACATCTGTCCAATCAGCTATGGCCAAGGGATAAGGTCTAATGGAACAAACACAGGTGTTGGGGCCCCATATCTGTGCCTGAGAAGGGCACTTAAAGAAATCATGAACAAGGAAGATACAAAAAAAGGGTGGAATCCATTCTTACTGGCAGCAGGAAGCTGTGTTTTCATCCCAGCTTGGGACAGCAAGACAAAGTAGTGGCACCGTGGAAAGAGAATTGCCTCCCACTTATGTGGGAAAATGAGGTCTTTCCTGCTCCCAGCAGGCAGGGGTAGGAGGGGTGCTGTCAGATATCTGCCAGAGTTTGACATTTAAGTTGATATTTCCTGCTGGGATTCAACATCCACTCATTTATCCAATATTTGCTGAGTATCTACCATGTGTCCGATTCTCTGTGTATTCCTCAGAAGGCTTTACTACTTTTTAAATGTTTGTAAATGCTACTGTGGTAAATTAAAGGCTGATCAATACTACATAAAGCACCATGCAGCCATTAAAATGGGAGATAGAAAAATATATGACTTCAGCCGCTAGGACTTTTTGTCAGCTACATCTCATTTATATCAATGATTTTCTAACTGTGCTAATTTGCTTTGGTTAACCTAGGACAAGTATTTCAGGAATGCTCTTCCATCAGAGCACTTCCTAGAATTAGCCAAAAGAGAACCTGGTGTGAAATTTGGAAGGCAGAATGAGAACACCAACTCTTCCTCTGGGAAGATCTCTGTAGTCAATAATGACAGACAGATGAGCCCAGCAGACACATCTCATTTAGTCTTCCACACAGCAGTGACCCTTCTCTATCTTACAATTCCTGGAAGACCTTCAGTTTCACAGCTCCCCCTACCTTTGGGTAAAGTTTCATTCCTGAAATAAATTTTTTATCCCCATAATACCTATGATGCTTCTGTTCTGCTTAATGAACTCTGACTGCTACACTTAATCATAAAAGGAGGCATATGGGGAGGTGGTTAACAATGTAGGCTTTAGCTAGATGTGGTGACACATGGCTATAATCCCAGCACTCTGGAAGACTGAGGCAGAAGGACTGAAATTTCAAGCCCAGCGTGGGAAACTCAATGACTTAGTGAGACTCTGTCTCAAAACAAACAAGGTAGCAGGTCTGGGCATGTGGTTCAGTGCCAAGGCCCTGTGTCAATCCCCAGTACTGGGGCAGGGGTAGGGACGAGGAGAAAATGGTCTTGAGGGCTGAGGATGTAGCTCAATGGTAGCTCTCGCCTAGTATGTACAAGCCCCTGGATTCCAAATCCAGCACTGCAAAAAAGAAAAAAATAATAATAATAAAATGCTCTTTGGATTCTACTGTCTTGGTGCTGAGAATTAAGAGGGAGAATTGACTTATAGCACCTGCTTTTCACTTTCTTCAAGCCACTGTCATTCTCTCTTAGCAGCTGCTATCCTGACATCCATAAGAGAATCTTTATTTAAGTAGGGCAGGAGTGGGGTAGGATTGGAGATAGGGATGGGGGAGTCAAATGGGTATGGGAGAGAGAGAGAAGGGTATGACCCGGTCTTGCCCGTCTTCCCCCTCATGTGGAAATTCCAGTGCACTTCTAGAGCAGGTGGTATCAGTGCTCTGCCTGTCATCAGAGTCCGTGTGTGTGTGTGTGTGTGTGTGTGCGTGCGCGTGCGTGTGCACGCGCATGTGTTATTGCCTCCAGCCACCTTCCCGTGCTTTTGCTTCCAGTACCCAGCCTCTCCAGAGGTCTGCCTTCAGCCTATGGGTGCACACATGGAAATCTAAGAGTTTTACATCCTAATTGCTGGCAGGTGTGGGACTGTGAAAGCCAGAGGTCCCTGGTGGGGATCAGGCTAAAGTTGCCTTCTGAGCTGCCTTTACCTGAGATCACCCCCTTGCTTGGCTTCCTCTCATTTCCTCTTCTGCCTCTCCCTTTTAATAAGTCATTTGAGTGTAACTCCTCATTTTAGGATCTGCTTCTGGAAAACCTTTCCTAAGACTGAAATCCTCTAAGAGCTTTTGAAAACATACTCCTCACCCAAACCACACCCTCAGAGGGCAAGTAAGGTGATGGAAAAAGAGAGATGTCTGTCACTGAAGTTCCCTGTGCTTAACCACTGGGCCCTACTGTCTCCAAGTGGGTGTGTCCAGCACGGTTCATCAACCAGATAGATAGGAGATGGTCAGGAGCATGGAGTCTGGGTTTGTCTAGGTGGAAAAAGAAAAGGGGCACTAGACAGAAGTGAGGACCTAGTTCTGCCACTAACTAACTGGGTGGTCTAATAACTAGTAAATTAGCTTAAAAGGAGGGTGATATTAATATCTGCTCAATAAGGAGGAAATCCACTAACACTTGTAATGCTGTCCTTAGCATATTTTAAGCTCATTAAATGTCAGTTACTACTGTTATTATTATTATTCTTATCCCTTTTTATTCATCGTAATTTGTGGGTGCTTCTATCTCTTCTCATATTGTCTTGTGTGAATAGCACATGTCTGTCTCCCTCATTATGCAGCAAGTTCTTGATTGACAGGAATCATCTCTATGGGAAATATAAATCCCATGCAGCCTTATTTAGAAATTCTGCACATCAAAATTTCAGTAAATACTCATAAAACTAACAAATTAAGCAGAATTGACCAGTGGCAGAGGGTGGGGAGAAAGTAAATAGGGGGGAGAAGAAATGTTCTTAAGGGTATTATTCTTTTCTTGATTAGTTTTAGAGCAGAATACAATCTAATCTTCAGTGCCAAAGAATCTCAGAGAGATCCTAAACCTATTATGACCTAAGTACTTTACCTACATACTCATGTCACATCCTGCAGGCTTTGCGTTCATGTTCTTTAGTGTAAAGCCCTTACATCTGTGAAAGCCCAAATTGCCTAACTCTGTAAGAGTTATGTAGTTCTCATCCTTTCTTACTCACATTCAAGAAAAAAAGACAAACTGGTAAAGTAACAGAAGCACTAGCACTGGTGTCAGATACACTTGAATTTTAATCTTGGTTCTCTGAGATCTTCACCAAGGTCTCAGTTGGGGATAATAATAGGTACTGCCTCAAAAGGACATTGTATGAATTTGAAATAATTCAAAATAATGAGTGAAAAGCTCTTAGCATTGTGAGTGAGACAGCCCAGGATAAAAAAAAACTCACATACAGAGAAATAAGTCTTGCAGATTTTAATGTTTCATGACTGATAACAGCAATCTCAAAGGGTTACTCAGAGAAACTGTTCCGACTTTAGAAGCACTTCCTGTGGACAATGGAGGGGCCTGCTTCGTCGTACTCAGGCTTGCTGATCCACATTTGCTGGAAGGTGGAGAGAGAGGCCAGAATGGAGCCTCCAATCCAGACTGAGTACTTCCGCTCTGGGGGAGCAATAATCTGCAAAGAGCAAATGTGGTGAATGATGATCAGCCTCCAGGAGAACAGGCAAAGAACCCGGGTGCAATATAGTCACACTCCCTCCTAAAAAAAAAATAGTGAAGTAAGACCTCAGTCTTACTCTGCTTAGTCTTACCCTCATTCTACCCTGCTGTCAGACTGTCTCAAGAAAGGGCTGCCACCATAGTCAGAAATGAACAGAATAAACATCTTGGTAGACTAGATAATTGTCCAAAATTTTCATCTTCTCACCTTTCCTTCACTCTACCATGGGAAGAGCATATTACTTGACTCTGAGGTTTTCAGCTGGGCCGTGTTATCCTTGTCCTTTGAGATATTAGTGGCCATGACATAAACTGGGGCTTGAAATGTGCTTTGTAGTCAGGTATGCTCTCTCACACCTCTACCATGTTCATGAGAAAAATCTTCCCTTAAGGTGCTACTGGCCCTTCATCTGGGCCTCACAATGAGAGACATGGACTTCATCTAAGTTGGCTAGATCTGCAGGGCTTCTTAGCCAAGCTTGGTCTTGACCAGCTGACTTTCTGCAGACCAGCAGATGCATGAGCAGTCAATGTTCATTTTTAAGTGCTTCTGAGATTTAATGGCTCTTTGTTACTCAGCAATAGCTGACAAATAACAACATCTACAGAAGTTACCCTGTTCTGTCCTTGTGTGGGGTTTAAATGCAGTTTAAGCTGCATTTAGTTTAGGCAGTTTGAGCTGGGTTGCTTCCATCTGCCCAGCCCCTGTTTTGAGGTTATTCTGCTAACAGCAACTTATTATATCTGAGAAGTTCCCAAATTCGTGCATAAATTGGTCATTCTTGCCATTAGGAGTTCTGGGCTTAACCTTTAGAAATTGGTTATCATGTCCAATAATGTTGAACTTTATCTGACTGGAATCCTTGGCTCTTCGACTAATTGTCTAGTTTCTTCTCTTCTCTTTTCTTTTTCCTTTTCTTCCTTCTCTTTCTTTCTTTTTCTTTTCCAAGATAAGGTTTCACTATGTAGTTTAGGATCTTGGACTTGCTGTGTAGCCCAGGCTCGCCTTGAACTCATAGTGATACTCTTGCCTCAGCCTCCTGAATGCTGGGATTTCAAGCACGTGCCACCATGCCTGACATTCCTAGTTTCTGAAGGGTCTAAGAATTCAGGGCTGGAGCAAACCAGAGATTAAACTGATTGTTTTTGGTCACAAGCACGTGCCACCATGCCTGACATTCCTAGTTTCTGAAGGGTCTAAGAATTCAGGACTGGAGCAAACCAGAGATTAAACTGATTGTTTTTGGTCTCCTTAAAATCTTTACATAGTTCTTAAATTGCAGAGATTATGGCATTAGAGAATAATAGGGTGTTTAAAATTTATGTTAGCCAGGCATGGTAGTACAGGCCTGTAAACCCAGCACTCAGGAGGCTGAGGCAAGAGGATCACTGCAAGTTCAAGGCCAGCTTGGGCTATACAGTGAGTTCAAGGCCAGCTTGAACTACATGGAGAGACCCTGTCTCAAAATAAAAGTTATCTTATTAATAGACAAAAGTCACCTGGGTGCTGCTTTAACAGATTTCTCAAGCACTGGGAATGCACAGTCACTAAGAAAGGGACCAAGTTTATCTCTGGGAAGTCCTAGTTGTAAGAAAACTGTGGCTTGTCTTAGACTGGAGGTCCTAAATCTTCCCACTCCCACATGTCTTCTTCCATGTCAAGGCTTGCCTCTTCTTCACTTCCTCTCACCAAATCTTGCTGTCTAATTTGTTTAGGAGTCCTATGTAACCTCACACACTATAGTACCTCTGCTCACTCTGCTTCTCCTGCCTGGAGTTCCCTTCCTCTTCCTCTTGTCAACTAAGGTTGTCTTGGAACTGATCATTTTCTACCAGCTGGATCCTAAACTCCATGAATGCTGGTGCAGGGCAGATGAACTAGGAAATACATCCAGTCATTGGTGGTTGTTTACTATCCTTTGAACCAGATCTGAGGGCGAGGCTAGGTGTGGTATGTTAACATGTGGTCCTTGTAAAAAGTCCTTGTCCCAAGTTGGCACTGTGTCCTCCATAAAGCAGGCCTTCCTAAGTGTGATGTTCCTGAGGCTCTGGGTTAGAAAAACATGCAGGCTCTCATTGGTTTTCTGGTGGGCCACTCCGTTGGTCTGTGATAAGCACTGTTTGCTAGGCATGAGGAAAGCCTGGAACACCCTTCCTTTCTGAAGAAGCCTCTCAGAATACTGTCATCAGGGAGTATACTTCCTTACACATGTCTACTCCTTAGCTTTATTGTGAGACTTTGTAACTTTCTACTTATTTGTTATTTATAGTCACAAACTCTTTTCCTAGACTTGTTGGCAAGAAGATTCCTAGAAGCCCTAAAAAGTTTTTTATAATTATTTAGATACCAGAGGCACAGCAGAAGTTGTAGGCAGGTAAACTTGCATTCTGCCACACACAGCCCATGAGACAATGAGCCCTGGTGAGAAGCAATGTGGGAAAGGCTGCAGCCAAGTTGAACAGCAGATCCGAGGCATCCAGGGGTCAAAGATTGTCTCTGGGAGTTTGAGACAGGAGCAGGCCAAATGGTCACACATTCCATTCCCTCTTCAGAACTCTCATTCTCCTACTCTGGGGTAACCTCAGGGTCCTCACTAAAGTTGAAAAATACTGTAGTGTTGCCCCCTTATTTTCTTCCTACCTATAGTATTTCCCCTCTTCTGCTTTCTGCCTCAACCCTTTCAATATACTTTTTATCTTAAATTCTTTCAACTCCTTCTTGTATAACATCCACATGACCACATCTCCAGCCCATCAGAGCCCAGTGACTCTAATCCCCCAGATGAAACTGACTGCAGAACAGGCTAAACCTGAACCCAAGGGTCTGCCAAACTACCAGGCCAGAAGTGTCTCCAGCCAGGTAGGTATTTGAACACAGAAAAGGAAAAGGCAATTAGTGCAAGAGTCACCTTGATCTTCATGGTACTGGGGGCCAGGGCTGTGATCTCCTTCTGCATCCTGTCAGCAATGCCAGGGTACATGGTGGTGCCTCCAGAAAGGACATTGTTGGCGTACAGATCCTTACGGATGTCAATGTCACACTTCATAATAGAATTGTAGGTTGTCTCATGAATTCCAGCAGATTCCATGCCTGGTGGAGATTACAGTAACTGGTCAACACCCATCCACTTAATGCACACAGCTTTAGACCCTCATATGATCCATCTTCTCTTATTGCAACTGCCCTAGTTCCAACCCTTAATCAGCCTCTACAACTGGATCACAAGATGAGACCCCTAACTGGTCATGGCCCTGTCTTTGGTCCCCTCACCTCAACCCCTCTGCCCATTTTAATCTTTCACACCATTGCTCAAGGCATATTTCTTTTGAAACACTTATTTTTCTATATTATTTTTCATGGTTTTGAGATATAATTAATATAATATAAAACTCACACTTGAAAGACTATAGTTCAGTAGTTTTTAGTATATTCAGAGTTGTGCAATGATTATCACAATGCAATTTTAGGGTATTTTTAGTGCTCCCAAAGAAACTCCCTACCCATGAACAGTCACTCCTCATTTTCCTCTCATGAGCTCTTCAAGGAAGTAATTGATTAAAATTATATTATAAATTGTATTTTAATATTATCTGGTAGATATTATCATTATCTCCATTTTATAGATGAGGAAACAGCAGTTTGCAGCAGGTAACAAGTCCAAGAAGACAGGGCTTGAGGAGACAGAATCAGGAATTAAAAGCAAATCTGAAAGCCAGGTACAGTGGTATACACCTGTACTCCCAGCACTTTTGTCAGACTGAGGGAGGAGGATTGCAAGTTTGAACTCAGCCTGAGCAACTTAGCAAGACCCTGTTTGAAGATAAATAAAAACTGGTTGGAGCTGTAGCTCAGTTCAAAGGACCTGGGTTCAATCTTCAGTATCACACACAAAAAAAGTATGACCTTTAAACCAAATAGATATGATCTCTATGACCTAAATGCTAAGTGACCCCAGAAGTATCTTGACACATGTAGTATATCAACCTCAATGTAATATTCTCTATCTTGTTTTTCCTTTACCTTGATTTTCTTACTCTTTTAAAGTAGAGTTCATCTTATTATACCATATATATAGTTTTACCCATTCCTAGTAAAATGTGGAATATTATGACAATAAAAGAAGTGTTTCTGACTTCTGGTGTTTCTCTCCATAACTCACATCCCTTAACCCCTCTGTCCTCTAGATCCATCAGCAGGTCGGGTGGGCTCACCAATGAAGGAAGGCTGGAAGAGGGTCTCAGGGCAGCGGAAGCGCTCGTTGCCAATGGTGATGACCTGCCCATCTGGTAGTTCATAGCTCTTCTCCAGGGAGGAAGATGAGGCTGCTGTGGCCATCTCATTCTCAAAATCCAGGGCCACATAGCACAGCTTCTCCTTGATATCTCGCACGATTTCTCGCTCAGCTGGAAGGAGCAGAAATGTCAGAAAGTGGATACTCAACTCTGCTGCTTTGGTTGTGCTGCTGTTATCTCCATGAATCACCCGCTCCCTCTTTTTTCACAGCTACTTTGGCTGTAGTCTTAGGACGATGACAGAATTGCCTCTGAAGAGGGCCTCTCCATCCCATGTTAATTTTCCACTCCTCTTTCTAAAGCAAGAGTTCAAAGGCTTGATGCCCAAGTCAGACTGCATTTTCTCCTTGCTTTCATCTCTCAGTCTCAACAAAGTCACATTTATCTGGTAGATAGCATTATAATAAACTGTAAAATAGATGGTCACATTTTCAGCTATTACACTCAGTCTCAACTTTGTGACCTTAACAGAATCCAAGAGCCCCTTTCCTAAAAACCCTTGCCATGGTGGGCCACATGACCCTTTCTCCTTAGAAATTCAGAACTCTTATATTCTGTTCATCCTCAGACACAACATAGGCACTCCTAGGTAATGAAATGCACCAGATCTTCACTCCCTTGTCAAAATTACTAGTCCTAGAGACACGAATAGAGGCAGCAGCAGATCTCCAGGGAAGGAGGGAATGCTGCAGAAGGGCATAAAGGAGGGTTTAGTCAAGTGCTGCCTAGAACACCTAGATCTCAGTCTTGTTCTCCTCCCTGGTCTGACTTGGGCACTTTCCTCCTTCAGTAAGGCTGCCCTGACTATCTGGTCTTGTTCAGAGGCACAGCCCTCGCTCAGAGTCTCTCAGTCTACCCTGTGACAGTTTGAGGACACAGGGTCAGAGAATTCTTATCAGTTCTGAGAATTTCTATCTTATGTCAGACTTGGCTCTGAACTCAAGCCAGGATCAAGAAAGGGGCTGGATACCTGTGGTCACAAAAGAATAGCCTCTCTCTGTGAGGATCTTCATGAGGTAGTCTGTGAGGTCTCGGCCAGCCAGGTCAAGGCGCATGATGGCATGGGGCAAGGCATAGCCCTCATAGATGGGGACATTGTGGGTGACCCCATCCCCTGAATCCAGGACAATGCCTGTGGACAGAGAGAAGAAGGTTTCTGAAAACTTCATTTTGTCTTTCATCTATTACTATTTGTACTGTATTTTCCTTCAGTAGTTAAGAAAATTCACCCAGTATGAGAATAATCAATGAGAGAGAGAGAGAGTGAGAGAGAGAGAGAGAGAGGGAGAGAGAGAGAGAGAGAGAGTGTGTGTTTTTCCTCCCAAGTGAGACTGTAGGCTTCTGAAAGGCAAGCAAAATATTTCCTTTTCTTAGATTCCTTGAAACACATTCATGGTAGTGTACACATCAATTTGTACTAAGTCTGGACTGAACATTCTTTTAAATGAGATCAAATACTTTGCAAATCTTTTGGAGTCAAACTAACACATATGCACCTACAATGAGAACGTTAAATCCAGAAGTGCTATGAAGAAAAGCCAACTTGAAAAAAGATTAATATTATCTACTCAAAAAACTTTTAGTAGCTGGGTGCAATAGCACACACCTATAATCCCAGCACTCAGAAGGCTAACAATCATTATGAGCTCAAGGCTAAGCTACATAGTGAGTTCAAGGTCAGCCTGAACTGCATAATGGGACCCTGTCTCAACAAAACAAAACAAAAATGACAGAAAAACTTTAGTGAACAGTGAAAGGTGGTGAGATTTGTCAACATACAAAATCTCTATTGATACAACAGTCACATCATAATTGGTAGAGAAACACTAAAATATCACCATTATTATTGTATATTGTCCTTGATGATCTAGCCAATGTACTAAGACAGAAAACAGAAATAAGAAGATTATTAGCAAAAGGAAACAGAATTGCCATTATTTGTAGACGACATGGTTTTATATTTAGGGGACTCAGAAGAATCATCTAAGAAATCATAATGAGATGGTTCAGACACAAAATAAATACTCAGAAACCAGTATCTTGCTCTCATGTAAGGATTTTTATCACAGAATATTTTATAATAAAAGTCAGAGACAATCTAAAGGTCTAGCAATACAGAAATAGCAAAATAAGTAAATAATGGAACCATCGCCTAATGACTATTATGTGTCCAACAAACATGTTTACACCATAAAATCAAGTGCAAAGCCCAGAATATAACACTGTGTATGCCATGTTTCCCCCTCTCTGTTTTTACTACCTGTAGTGAGATTATCTTTTAATTGTGTGTCTCCCCCACTAAACTGTTAGCTGCAAAATGGCAGGATCTGTGAATTTGATCCCCAGTACTGGAAAATAAATAAATAAATGAATAATAAAATGGCAGGGTCTGTCTTATCAGTGTATGCCCATGGCCTGGTGTGGGGTGTAACATATCATAGAGAGCAATGGAAAATGTTTGATGTATGAATGAATGAATAAATCAAGTAATATACAATGAATGAATATTTGAACAGTGTTTATGGAAGCTGTAGAGTCTCTATTAAGGATCACTGTATGTTGAGGTTCTCTGTTTCCTGAGTATCCTTCTATAGCAAGGCCACCTGGCACATCCATTATCACGGGTTCTACTGTTGCTGCTTCCCGAGGGACAAACATTCCAATATCATGGGACGTGTAAGCTCCTAGAAAGACTACTGTGGGGAAACAGCATTGGCCAGTGGGAGGAAGATAAAGGATGTACTAGTTATGCTTTGTTCAGATAAATTATTTCCAACAATATGAAGTATTCTCAAGTCCAGCATTCCCATGAGCATTCCGCTGTCATCCCTAGGCAAGATTTCCCCCTGAACTTTGTTTTAGTACATGTTTTCAGTATATAACAGTTCCCCCGGACTTTGGCTGTCCCTTTTATTCTTCTGGGCAGGAGCTTATGCACAAGCCCAGCTTGTCCCTACTTCCCCTGACGTCAGAAAAGGAATGGATTGCAGGGCCCCTTACCTGTGGTGCGGCCAGAGGCATAGAGGGAGAGCACAGCTTGAATGGCGACATACATAGCAGGGACATTGAAAGTTTCAAACATGATCTGAAAGGACAATGAAGAACAAAGGATGATCTGGCAAAAATGACAGTAATTCTTGGCTTGCAGAATGGTTTGTAATCTTATTAAGGGCAGACACTATGCTGATTTGGCACCTCTTCATTTTACTTCCACTTCCCATAGGGCCTGGCCTGACCTTGTATATAGCAGGTCTGAAAAATTCTGTTGCATTGACACATGAAGGGTAGAAAGTATCTGGCTGAGCATCCACGTTGCATTCTTGGGCCTGTGCTCAAGTCTTCCCAGGTCTTACCTGGGTCATCTTCTCCCTGTTGGCCTTGGGATTTAGTGGAGCCTCTGTGAGCAGGGTGGGATGTTCTTCTGGTGCTACCCGCAGCTCATTGTAGAAAGAGTGGTGCCAGATCTGGTTGAGACAAAAGCCAAATGAGCCCTGCAGACTCCCAATGGGTCAGGAGAATCTAGCTGACCTGCCCACGCTGGGGCATTGTGGCCCACTCTGGCACAGAATGGGGCTGGATCTGAAGAAGAGAATGATCGATCCTGGATATTTCTGATTGACATTTAGAGGGTATATTCTTTCTCAACAGGACCCAAGGCAGTATAGACCTGGGGCTAGTATCGTCTCTGTGTTGTTTTTTTCCACATGACCTTCTCTCTTCTTCCCTCTTCTCTCTTTTTCCTGTTGCTTTGTGCCCAAAGGGAGCCAGGTGTATTGCATCATTGCTTTCTGGCTTCTGGCTATGGTTGGCTGATGGAAGAAACTAAGAGAGAATACACACTGGGGGAGAGAAAGAGATCAGGGTGTTTCTGGGAATGGAGTAATCCTCCATAAACATAGCTCCTGTTGGATCCCTTTTCTAGGACTCCAGCTCACCTTGGGCTCCAGTAACACTTTGCCCTCTCTGCCTCACACCTTCAGGGTTAGGAATATAAGAGCTTTCACTGCTGCTAGTACTTGGGTGCCTCAACATCCTTTTCTGGGTGCCTTAAACCTGTTCACACCCCTGTAAGTAGTCTTTCATTTAATCACGTAAACCAAAAAAGTGAGTGTACCCTCTCCTGCGGGGACCTGACACATACAATATGCTAGTGTTCAGTTTTCACTATTTATTTACTGATCAGACTGGTGCTTTGGAGCACAGGTTTCATAAGCTCAGATCTGTGGTATTTTAGGCTGGATAATTCCATGTTGGAGGGGAGACCTGTGTATTATAAGATGTTTAATAGCATCCCTGGGCTCTACCCTGTAGATGCTAGTAGTGCCACTCCACTGTATGCATGATGTGAAAGCTATTGCATTTTTTTTGTGCTAATCTTCAATCCACAGTTTAGGATTTTGAGAAAACTACAAGTAAATTACAGATTTCAAATCAACATTCTTCATGCCCAGTTGTAATCTAGTCAATAAGCTTCTCTTTCTTTCAGAAAAGTCATAACAGAAATAAGAATTCTCAGTCAGCTGTCAGTGGAACTGATCAGAAGAATGTTATGAAGAATGTTATCATTTTGCATACATAATTTTATTTATCACAAATATTTCTATTTAAAAATAGCCTCTCCTATATTTTCTTACACACACACAAAATTAGAAAGCCAAGCATGGTGGTACACAAAAATAATTCCAGGACTCTGGGAATTTAAGGCTGGAGGATCTCAAATTCATACCCAACCTGGGCAGCTTGGAGGTTTAGCAAGACCTTGTCACAAAATTAAAAAAAAAATTTTTTTTTAAAGCTGGGTTTGTAGCTCAGTACAGAAGCCTTGGGTTCAAGCTCCAGTACTGTAAAAAAAAACAAAACAAAACAAAACAAAAAACCAAAAAAAACAAACAAAAAAAAACAAAAACAAAAACAAAAACCCCAAAAAACACAGGGCCAGGGATTTAACTCAGTGGTTCTGCCACCTGCCTTGCAAGTTCAAGGACCCAAGTTTGATCCCAGGTACCAAAAACAAAACAAAACAAAACAAAAAAACCCACAAATAAATGAAAAAGAGTTTCATAAGAGAGTCATCATTATAATATAACATCAATGCATATGGCTGAACTTATAATAGGGGAAAGGAAAAGGGTTCTTTGCATCTCTGGAGGCAGCATCAGCATTTTTAAACAAGGGTGAGCACCAATTAGAGTGAATGCTGCATGAGAAGAGGAAGCTGGGAACTGTGTGGCCAGGGCCTCACACACCACTACAGAGCGGTAGGACCCTACTGCTGTTAATGAGGATCTACCAAAGGTTCTAAGGTGAGTGACATGTGCTGATGTTTTTTGGAAAGTGAAGCTTTTTAGCAGGGTAGAGAGTTAATTGGGTGAGTGAGGGTAGGTGACAAGACAGTGGAAAACCACGTCAGGGAGAAAGATTGGCAGCCTAGATTGGAGAAATGATCCTGGAGAGAGAAAAATTGTGAGAAACATTTTTGAGGAAGAGTTGACAGAAAAATGGGCCATGGGATACAAGGGTCAAGATGATGTGTTATTATCACAGTGAGCACATGTCGGGGGCTTCCTGTACCTTCTCCATGTCGTCCCAGTTGGTGATGATGCCATGTTCAATGGGGTACTTGAGGGTAAGGATCCCTCGCTTGCTCTGAGCTTCATCCCCCACATAGCTGTCTTTCTGGCCCATTCCCACCATTACACCCTGCAATGCAGAAGAGAAGGAAAGAAGAGTAAATTGGCTGTCAGTCTTCACACAGAGGGATTCACACATTAGAATGTCTCTGAAAGAGAGGGAGAAGGGGAGAATCCCCCTTTTCCCTGGAAACAGGACAGCAGAGATTAAGGGTGGGCAGACACAGGTGAGAATAGAAACGACAGGAAGAGGAAGTACCTCCGGTTTCTTGTGGGCTGGTCTCCTGTCTCCTAAGACAATGCCATTTTCTTTTCTTTTCTTTTCTTTTTTGGCACCAGGGTTGGAAACCAGGACATTGCACTTGCGAGGCAGTGGTACTACTGAGCTAAATCCCCTGCCTGACAATGTGATTTTCTGAGAGAAATCAAAGCCCATCACTCCCCCCATCGTTTTACTACAAACAGACACACAGACACATAGACACACAGACACACACAGACACACACACACACACACACACTCTCACATGCACAGACTTCTACTTGCCCTCCTTAAATGCCCTGTGCTTGTACTTCTCTAACTCTCAATCTTGCTATTTTCTCACATGCTGAAGCCCTCTGAGTTGCAGGTCTCTCTTTCCCTTCCCTTTCCCAAATTCCTCCATTCAGATTAAACCCTCCCGTCTGTTATGTTCCTGTGAAATACTTTGCTTCTATCATGGCCCATGATCTCAAGTTAGTTCTGTGTGCATCTTCGTAAGATGAAACTTTCTTAAAGGCCAAGGTATTTTAAAATTGCATATATTTTAATTCTTCTAAACCTAGCAACACTCAAATTTAACCCAGATATAATACATCATTGTGTGCCTGCTGGATATTGGTTTCGGCCTGGATTGTTTCTTTTTTAAAGTTCCACTTTCTCAGTTAATTAGAAAACAGTTCCTCTTGCCCCAGAAGAGAGAGAGAGAGAGAGAGAGAGAGAGAGAGAGAGAGAGAAAACCTTGGGTCAGGATGAACACACACCTGGTGGCGAGGGCGGCCTACGATGGAAGGGAAGACAGCCCGGGGGGCATCATCACCTGCAAAACCTGCCTTGCACAAGCCAGAGCCATTGTCACACACAAGTGCGGTGGTTTCTTCTTCACACATGGTGAGTGTGGCTGAGTGAACTGGGGGCTGGAGCACCTTGGAGGAGGAGGAGAAGAGAATTAATTATTCAGCTTCTTGTCCAATCAAGCTGAGTACAGTCTTCTTGGCTTTGGGGCCAAACCTCCCCTGAAACCACAGGAGGGACAGGTATGACCTAGCCTCTCACTTGCTGGCATTTGGTCTCTTCCCTCTACCCTGCTGTTATGGACTCAATTGTGACCACCTCTCAAATTCATATATTGAATTCCTACCCCACCAGTACCTCAGAATATGACTGTATTTGGAGATAGGGTCTTTAAAGTGGGTAATTAAATTAAAATGAGGTCATTAGTTCAATATAGCTGGTTCTAACATGAGTACTCCCATAGAAGAAGTGTCTTTCTAAGAAGAGACAGGACATAAATCCACCCAAGGATGAGCCACGTGAAGACATAGTAAGAACAAGTTGTCTGTATGCCAAAGAGGCAGGCTCAGAAGAAGCCAATCCTGCCAACACCTTGATCTCAGTTCTCTACTCTCCAAAACTATGAGAACAGTCTGTGGCACTTCATTATGGCAGTTCTACCAAATCAATACCTCCTTTTGAAGACTTGAAATGGTTTCAAAGCTTTCATCCAGTGGAGAGAACCCTAAAAGACTTATTGGTTAGGAAAGGAGTTGAAAAAATTTGCAATATAGCTAACAAAGGATTATTAAAAGAACTCCTACAAATCACAAGAAAGTAAGTAGCTGATCTGGGTATGGGTCATGCCTATAATCTCTGTACTGGGGAAGAGTAGGCAGTAAAGTTTTGACTTCAAGGCCACCCTGGACTACATAATGAAAACCATCTAAAAAGAGCGGGGGATAGCTGAAAAGGAAAACAAAGACTGTGAGTCGGAGTACAGGAAAGGAAATGAAAATACTCAATAAAAACTGCTTAGCTTTTTACTAGTTATCAGGGAAATGCAATTTATATAATACTATCTTCCACCCATCATATTGTTAAAATTCAAAATTTTATAATAGGTGTTGGTCAATGTTCAGGAAAACTGGTTCTCTTTAGGGAAACACACAATGCAAAATTTAGAACTACCCAAATGTCCTAATAACAGGATACTTACTGTAGTTAAGAGAAGAGCAAAGTGGGGCTATATAGATGAACATGGGTAGATTTTTAAATCATTCTGCTAAGTGAAAACAGCAAGTTGCAGAATTAGAATGTACAGCATAAAACCACTTATGTAACTTCTTTTAAACCCATAAAACATTATCAGGTGTTTCACTGATTTTAAACTTGTGGGTATAATTACATAGCAAAAAGTTCTAAACACATTATAGATTGGATCGTGATTACTTCTGGGCATGGGGAGTGGACAGGAAGAGGAGGTGCTGGGTTACATCTATAATGGTCTAACACTTTACAGGGAGACTGTATTCATATATCGCTCAGAGAATAAAAAGTCAACAACATACATTTAAGAAGAAAAAGACAGAAGTTATTGATGAACTGCAGTCCTAGGGGAAAGCACCTTGAAGAGGAAAGGGTGGCTTGAGAGGACAGGGAAGGAAGGAGCATCAAGATGGGACTCACTGCCCACTGCCTTGAGAGCTGTCTCTTCCAATGTTGAGAGCTGAATCAGGACAGATATAATGTGATGATGGTATTAATTTTTCAATATCTGCTGTAGACCTCCCTCCCTCCTTTTGAGTTAAAGACAATATCTGAAAATTCTTGACCCTTGGTGATGGAGAAGCAGCAGAACATCAGGAGGCAGTGAGCAGATTGCCTCCTAGCTGGGACACCACGAGTAGGGAACAGTGGACATGAGAAAGGCCCCAGCTGAGGCATCAGGCAGACAGACTTTTAGAGCCCCACAAAAAGAGAGGAGTGAAACAGGGAAAGTCAAAGCTTCTGTGAAGGAAGAAGGCTGCAGAAATGTCATTCACGCTTCACTGACTGAGTTAGCTGGACACCGAGAAGTGTTGTTCAGAACGTGCAACCACTGGTAGCTGTGCCATAGAAAAGAGGAGAAATTCTATGGAAACCCAAATGGCCTTCTGCTGCAGCTAGACAGCAAGCGAGACAGTGTATACAAGGTCAGAAAGATGAAGCAGAAGCGAAGCAGAGGCTTGTTAGCACTGAAAGAAAGCCCTTCCCAGTTATAGTTCAAGTGGGGCTCACAACAGAAGAGAAGCCTGGTGTGACTTCTTAAACGCAGGTTTGCTTCTGCACTCTTGGTCCTCATAGGCCCCCATAGCCAAGGAAATCAGTCCCATCTCTCTAACCTGGCCCATGGAGCTCAGAACAGGATGTCCCAGAGTATGAAGAGATATGGCTGAGCAATAACACCAGTAGGCATATTTATAGCTGGCTGAATTTGTGTTAGCAAAAGGTGTTAATTAATGGGTGAATGTCAACCTGTTATGAATGGACAACTAGTCATCATGGAAGATGGATCAAATGAAATAATGGAGATGAAATGGCCAAGAGCATCTTATCATCTTGATTTTTAAATGACCAAAATTGGGCTGGGCATGTGTTGTATGTAATCCCAGCACTCAGGAGGTTAAAGCAGGAGAATTGTTGAGAGTTCAAGGCCAGCTTGGGCTACATAGTAAGTTGAACATCAGCCTGCATTACATAGTGAGACCCTCTCTGAAAAAAAAAAAACTAAAATAAAATAAAATAAAATGACCCAAAGTGAAGCTGGGTGTGGTGGCACACATCTGTAATCCCAGTACTTGGGAGGCTGAAGCACGAGGATCACTGAAAATTTGAAACCAGCCTGGGCTATATAGTGAGTTCAAGGTCAGCCTGAATAACATAGAGAGAACCTGTCTCAAAAAAAAAAAGAACAAAATTCCACCCTAATGTCATAAGTTACTGAATAAGTAAGTTGATACCTCTGTAAAATGGAGAAAGACAAATATTTAATGGAATGAAAAAGGTGCAAGTTGCTTTGTTGAGTGAAACATTACAGTATGTTCAGTGTTTGTAGAAATGATTTTTAGTTTTTAAAAATGGAGTCCTTCACATATATAATGCCAGCTATTTAATCCTCCAAACAGACCTGAAAGAAGCTATTTGAAATCCTATTTCATACTTTTGGAAATTTAAGTCTCAAAGAAATGAAAGGACTTAGCCAGAGACCTCCTAGCCAGAAAAGGCTGGGAGATAGGCCTGGCCTCAACCCAGGACAGGTCCAAATTTTGAGCCTGTGCCTTTCTCATCACTTCAGTGAAACTGTCATAACTTCTCCATGTTTGGTATTTTGCTTCTGTCTCTTTCTCTGGAGAAGTTGGCAGCAAAAACCCTAAAACAAAGGGGTCTGTGTTCTTTTCTCTCCATAAACCTCTGAACTCCTCCTTTGCCAGGACCATGTTGGGATTGACATTTACAACATTAGCACTTAACCCACTCAGTGTTCAGCACACAGTAGGTACGTAATAAACATTGGGTGACAATCCTACCACGTAGTGGGCCCTGCCAGATCTGGTCTGCTCATCCCCCTACCTCATTAGGAGCCACATGGGCACAGCCTCACAAGCTGGATAGCAAATGGTGAAGCCGCCCTGTTCTAGCAGGTGGTCTGCCCTGAGGGCACCTGGCATCCAGAGCAGAGGGCCTCTGGAAGGCAAAGCTGTACTTATGTGGCTCTCTTGCACCTGGTCCCCTTAGCAGCCCTCTCTCGAGCGTGATTTATAGTTCGAGTTCCTCTGGCTTTTCAGTGAACCCTTTTGTCTCCCTCCTGGTGTTCCCGTACACTTGGACTTTGTTTCCCAAACGGCATGGCTGCCTAGACAAGCCACACAGTGACTTCAAGCTGTCAACAAGACCATTCTGTGGCACTCCAGGTGCTGTAGATCTATTCTTTGAAGCAGAAGCAAAAGAGAAGCGAGGGCAGGGAAAGCAGGTGAGGGCTGGCAGCCGGGAGCCTCTGTGGGGCCCCACTGGCCTAGGGCGAGGGGCTCTGTCCTGGACTCAAGACTCCTTCAGTGTCTCTGCCAGGAGAAATTCTAAACCATCCTCAGCTCTTTCTGGTAATTTGTGGCTAGTCTCAAGCATGTCAGCTGAACCAGAGCCAAAGTCACTGTGGTTTCCTGGGGTCACAACCGCTTTGCACTCTCGGGAAGCTGAGGAATTTTTTTGGCTCTTCCAGCGTGTACCACATCTGGGCTTCATTGAGGATCTCATGGAGTTAGAAACACAGCTTTTATTATTTCTCCCCCGGAGGTAGCCAGAAACCAGACATAATGAGTGCGAATAATCTGCTCACTCAACCATCTCCCTGGCTGCCCTCAATTCAGCAGGAGGACAGAGGTGTGAAGACTCACCCTCTCCCCCACCCAAACAGAACAAGTTTGGCTACAGACTTACCCTTGCTTTTCCTTTCTTTGCCTTTATCCTCCCTCCTGGCACAACTTTCCTATAGCCCTATCTATGTCCTGGCCTGGTTCTGCTATAAAATGGAAATGATAACATCTATATCACAAGATGATGAATCAATTGAAATAACAGAAATGAAAATGCTGTATAAATTGTAAATCAGAGTAGGCAAACTCAGGCGTATTTCTGTGAAACCCACAAACTAAGGATGGTTTTTACATGTTTAAATGTTTGAAAATAAAGCAGTAGAGGACTAATATAGCCCATGGCCTCTGAAAATTATAGGAACTTCAATTTTAGTGTCTATAAGTAAAGTTTTTTTAATAAGTAAAGTTTTATTGGAACACAGAAATGCCCATAATTTCTGTATTGCCTATGGCTGCTTTTGTTACAGTAGCAAAGTTGAAAGTAACTGTGACAGACCTTCAGGCTTACAAGGCCTACAATATTTACTATCTGACCCTCTACAGAAAATATTTGCCAACCCCTGTTGTAAAGGACCACAAAAAAACAATTAATCTCTCTTATTCTTTTCTGTCAAAGCTTATTTCTGTATGGAGCCTATCATATTGGAAGGAATTACATAATCTGTTTCATAAAATCAGTGACTATTGAAGTTTGAATTTATGCCAGTTCCCAAAGACATTTCATTTTAGTAGAAAGTTTTAGCTCTCTGGATAATGGGATTTCTAACAATAGTTATAGATATATTGGGCAAGGGCTTGAAATGACTTATAAATACCTGTTTATCTGTGTATTGTTATTTGTAACTTTTCTTTCTTTCTTTCTATTCATCTATCTTTGGGATGTTGTATGTCCCCCAAAGGCCAGTGTGTTAAAGACTCAGTCCCAGAGTAGCACAATGGGGAGAAGGGAGAACCTTTACAAGGTGGGCTTAGTGGAGAGTCCTTAAATTATTAGGGATGTGCTCTTGAAGGAGGATGTGAACCTCTGGCCTCTCTCTCTTGATTCCTGACTTAAATGAGATTAGCAATTTTGCTCGGCATGTGCTCTAGCCATAATATGCTGCCACGAGTCCAAAGCAACAGGGCCAACTCATCATGGCCTGAAAACTCCAAAACTCATAGGTGAAACCTTTTCTAAGTTAGTTTTCTCAGATATTTTATTATAGTGAGGAAAAGCTAATACATATATGATCTAAAAAGCTGGTAGAGGGAAGTTATTTTCATGAAAAATACTGAAACACGGTGGAAAATTCTGACAGCACTCTGATTGACTTATTCAGATACACAGAGCCAACCACCTTTTGTGTCTCCATGCACCTGTGCCCCGCCATACCTCCAGATCACAATGCACACTTCTAGGACCGCTCTCCTCACCACTGGCTTCTACCTGGAATTACGCTCAGAATCACTGCACCCACACCCAACACCCTGCTGTCTCTCTCCTCCCTCCCAGCCAATCACCAGCCCTTCTTAATTGGACCTCTATGCCACTGATACCACCAGCTCAGGACCTGCACACTGCAGTACCACTCTCACCCTTTGTAATACAGACCTCTTGCTGCCACCCTTTAGGTTAAAACCTTTCATGGTGCCCACTGTTCAATTATTACTTTAGGCACAAAAAGTAAAAGACTGATTCTATCCACGCCTCTGAATTTGGCTCTTCCTCCTTCTTGCTTTGCAATCTAAACTCCATGGAACAAAGCCATTTATAGTCCCAAAGACCATGCTTCCTCTTTACCAGGACCACCCTCCTCCAGGAGATGACCCAGGAATCCCTTGATTCAGGAGGCCTTTCCTGGGAACAGCCAGGCTCCTCCTGGGTTTTTCTCCTTTCAAACAGTCCATGGTTCTCATCTGGTTATCCACCTCTTCCACTGATTGCAGAAGCTCCTACACTGTCACCAAGGGACTGTGACTTACATATAGTAAGGGTTCAATGAATGTGGGTAAAGAACAAAGGGAAAGAAGAAAGGTCATGATGTCAAATGGCCCATGACAGTTTCTCAAGTTTCACATGTAGATTCTTACCTGTTCATAGCACCACCCATTTCTGTCATGGGAAGCTGTGTCTCTTTTCAACCCAAAGGCTGGTTTCAAAGTAAAACCCACATTCAAAGAGTACAGAAAGTGTATTGTTCCCAGATCACCAGCCTCAGCTCTACCTAATCACCAGAGACTCCTTAGGAATGCAAATTATTGTCCCCCTTCCCCCAGCCTACTGAATTAGAATCTGGGTTGAGTATAGAGCCATCTGTGTTTTAGCAAGCTTTCCAGATGATTCTTAAAGTTTGATAACTCAGGCCCAGACTCTGACCATGTTGAACTGATGGACATACTTTATACATTTAATCTTTATCTATTTTTTTTTTTTTTGTGCTGGGGATCGAACTCAGGACTTTGCACTTGCAAGGCAGGCAGCAGAACCACTTAGCTAAATCCTTGGCCCTATACATTTAATCTTTATAACAGCTATCAAGTAATACTATTAAAATTACTCCATTTTAGAGATGAAGAAATTGAGGCCACTCTATGGCTTCAGTAGCCAGACAGTTTACCTCTAAGATCCTTGTTTTCTCTAAAATTTTCTGACTCTTAACCTCTGTTGTTCCTTAGAATTCATTCTTCAATTTTGGGGAACACAACAAACTCAGTATATTTGACATCTAAAAGGCTGGGAGTTACATTTATTTTCCCTATATCACTGCTACAAGACTCTTGTTTCTATCCCAATCCTTTTCCTCATCCCACAGTGACTCATCCCACAGTAATTCTAGAACTTTTGTAGACTGAGAAAATTCTCCATTCACCTTAGCCAAGCACAAATCAGAGGACAGAGAGACCCAATGGGGACTGATGAAAATACTCTCCTATTCTCCTATTCCCAGCATGGACATTTCATGAACTCCAGGAACATTGTTGGTTTTGCTCAAATATCTTGAGAAGTTGTTTCTCTGCCAAGTTTCTGCCCCCCAAGATAATCTCCCAGACATTCTAACCCATGACAAAGGACATCTGAGTGAGCAAGACAACTAGATGTAGGTAAAACATCTCAGTTGCCTCCCGACCTGATAGGAGGAAGCATAAGTCTAAACTGTCCCTGCTCCAGGATGCCCCCTGGCCAGAAAGGCCTTTTCCAGGTAGGAAACAATGTGCTTGCAGGAGCTGCTGTCATAAAGAGCCCTGATGCATGCATGACCTGGGCCAGCATCACAGAAGCCAGGCCAATCTGGAGGCACCCCTAGCACCTAAGAGGTCAGGCAGCCACAGAAAGGAAGAAGCTGCAGAAGCCACATAGTACTCACCAAGGTTATGAGAGGTCCTCCTCCCACGGACTGAGGGCTGCTGTGTCTTTGGCAGAAATACCAGAGCAATATAAAACCCCAGAGGCGGATCTTCTTTAAACAGAGTCCCTAAAAAGGCCAGCTGACGGTGTGTTAGCAATATTACCATATAAGGTGGTTTTTTCAATAAATTGGCCTTGGGGGGTGTGGAAGGAAGGGTGGGTAGAGTGAATTATCATTTAAAAAATGTATGCAAAAGGATTCGAGTGGCAACAGCCTCGGTGCTGGTGGATTTGTTCCTTTTATGCTGCACTTGCATAAACAACACTCACACCAGGCCTTATAAGCTGCCCAGTGCGAGTCCAGACGCAACTCTGCTCCTGGAGAGAGAACCATACCAAGAATGGCAGTGGGCCTCCTCCACCCACACCTCCCTCCTTTGGGCCTACTGCCCACTGCTCTGGGGTCTGCCTGGGATACTCATGCAGTGTCTCCAATATAGATGCCATTGTGCTTTCTCTGGTGCAAACCCGGGATAGCCAAAAGCTGAAAGGAAATGCCATCTGTACTGGAAAAGAAATTCCAGGTCCCCTGTCACTTGCTGCCTTGGCTTCCCAAGTCACCCTAAGCTTCCTCTGGAAATTTACTTGCTTCTGCCTGACTTTTTTCCTTATTGGATTCCCTCTATCAGTCTCCTGCTATGGGGAATCACAGACCAAGGACCTGCCTCAGGGCTGAGGCATACCCAACAAGACACATGAGCCTGTAGAAATTTCCAGAGTCTTGCTTGTCTTTTCGTAACTTGTGAATTCTTCCTGGGTAGCTATTTCATGCTCCACAATACCAGCTACCACAATGGCAATACTTCCAACTCCACAATTCCATAGTTTCAACACCTCACACTTGCTCCTGAGTAAAATTACCAGTTGCTTATTAGAGATCCACATCCAGGTGACTCAGCTCAAGCTCAACTGTCCCAAACTATTCAGTTCTCTCTCTCCCTGCCCCCCACTGCACCACAACAGCCTTCCTAGTGGTCCTGAAATGTGTCTCCTCTGTGTCCTGTCAGGCTTAGGATCTGAACTTTTCTGGCCTGGAGTGAAACAAAGCTTTCTGATGGGCTTTCCTGATTTTGTTCCACCTTCAAACCTAGCTGTTCCCAAAGTCTGGGGCCACCAGCATGCAGCATGAAGCATTAACACGATGTGGGCATGTGTCAGAAATACAATTTCTCGAGTTTCATGTAGAACTATTGAATCAGAACCTGCAGGAAGCTGTTACTAGCATTTTATAGGCTCCAACCAACACTCATGTGCCCTGGAAACCTACCCTTCAATAGAAGAATTATGCACTGAATACTAGTCATGGGCAGAGAGTACTAGGTAGTTTTGGTGACCTGGTATAGGTCTGACTTCCACATAAACTGAGAATTGAGGCAAAGGAGATGTGGCTAAGGAAAGCTTCCTGCTAAAAGAATCTAATGATGGCCTGTGACTGTCCCCTATATAAAAGGGACATGGACCATCAAAAGGTGGACTTGCTCATCTTCTAACCTTCTAACCATTGCTCTGAGTGTTTGGTCACATAAGTGTAAATTTTAAAGCCCTATTGGAAGTATTCCTGACACTTTCATGCAAGAAAAGCCTTCTCAGCCTGTCCTGGAGGAAGAATCTAATGGAGACTGCCTTTAAAAGGTGGTGAACACAACAGGAGCTGGTCCAGAAAGCACTGTTTTAGTCGTGACTGGTGGAGGCAAGCAGCTTGACACTAAGTGACAGGGTCACAGCTTCTGCTCTGAGACTCTGTCTCTAGGCAGAGATAAAGACAGAGATGGGACAGGGCACCAGTCTCCTTTGACCTGATCTCTTCAGTGTCAGGGTTAGCTCAGCTTCTTTCTAGCTAATCAGCACGGTGGTTGGGGAACAGATGGAGGCACCTTGCCCTTGTGGAATTTATATCGAGATTAGTAACATCTGCTAATAAACAATAAAAAGCCTATAACAAAAAGGAGCTATTTGTGAGCCAGAGCTCAAACTGCCCAGAGACCAGAGAGGGGAATCAACCAAACAAACTGATGCTTAAACATTTCTGGGAGGCTGGTGTCTGCCTAGACTTTGATACACAGGAACAAATGGGGAGGGGGCTGTTAAACCAAATACCAGAGGTACTTGCTTCTTTCCTAGTATGAAGAACTCTTAAATTTTCTTTCCTAACATTTTTTTTTCAAAAATTCATTGTAAAACATTCAAAGAATACAAAAATGTATATTTTAGAAGGCAAATATCCCCTGTGCTCCCACACAGATCTGGTCACTGTTAACATGTTGTTTATATTATAAAAATTGGATTGTCATAATATATTTTTTTACATTGTCATATTCTCTTAATACTCTTGGGTGTCTTTCCAAATTATTCCATATGATTTTTTATCCCTTGTATTGTTTTCCACAATAGCGATAAATGACAACCAATATTCTATCAATGGGATTCTGAGTCATATCCAACTTTTTACTCTACAAGCATTGCTGCAATTAATAATACTTTATGTGTGCACCTCTGTGTGCAAATGTGGGTAGTTCTATGAGGTAAAGTTTTAAATTTTCTTTTAAAATGAAATCTTATTGCTACGTCTGTGATACATAATAATTGCATTCATCTTGGGGGACTGTTACATATACACATTGCACCATAATAATTTTCACTTTTCCCCTTCCTATCCATTCCCATTGTCTCCTCCTCAGACTCGCTTCCTTTCTCCACAAACCACCTCATTTCCTATCACCTTTCTTTAATATTATTCTTTAAATTACTTATATTTGGGGGTTTCTCATAATAAAAAACACATGCAACATTTAGCTGTGTTGATTATTTCACTTAGCATTATGGTCTCAAGATCCTTCCATTTTCCTTTGAAAGACTCACATGTATCTTTCTTTATGGCTAAGTAGATGCCACTGAAATGTCTTGCTATACTGCTCAATCTGGTCTAGAACTCACAGGCTTGAGTGTCCCTTTTACCTCAGCTTCCCAATTAGCTGAGATTACAGAGGTACTGGCTTTATGGTAACATTCTAAAAGCAGAATTGTATGGTCAAGAAAGACCTCATGAAATACTGGTGGAAATTGCCAACTTGTCTCCCAGGCTGCCTGTTGATGCTCATGCCAGGAGTGTGAGAAACCAATGTCTTCACCTGCTTTCAGATTCTCAGAATTAATGTGCTTATTTCCAATAACATTTGCTTATTACATTTAGAAACATGCTAATTTTCATGACACACTATCTTACAATTGCTTAGCTTTTTTCTTAATTATAAAATATGACAGTTTAAGAAGACAAAGGAAAATGTGAGAACTAGGTATTCACATCTGGAGCTGTCTCCTTCCGTGGGCAGCTAGTTGTACCCATGTCTCTGCTCATCTGTTTCTTCTTGCGCCCAAAGGAACCATGTAAAATACTGGAAATTATTCATCTTTTTAATTTTCCTAATCTGAAGAGAAACTTAGCATTTTCTTACCTCAGAATCAAAATTTAAAACTATGTGGTAACAAATGTGAATAGACATTCATTTGCTAACTTAAAAAAAAACTTTTTCTGTCTTTGAGAATGCCTGGTTTACGTTTTTTAAAATTAATTTTATTGGTATAATTTAAATATGCATAATGATTATGTTCATTAAAGGAAATTTGTACCTGTACATGGTATATTTTGATTCTTCTTTTTCTCCAATCCCTTTCCCTCCCTTCAACCCCTCTCCTCTCCTTATTTATAACTAGTTTATATTTTTGTAAATTTTCCTATTGGATTGTTCATTTCATCTTTTTGAGTTATAGACTTATTTGTATATCATATTAGTGATATAACAAACCTTTTTTGATACTCTCTAGTAGCATTTGCCTTAATGAAGTTTAATCAAATGTCTTTTTTTTTTTGAGCTCTGTCTTTCATAACATTCTTAAGAAGGCTGAACACTTTTTTTTTGTACCAGGGATCAAACTCAGGACCTTGCATTTGCGAGGCAGGCAGCAGAACTGCTAAGCTAAATCCCTGGCCCAGGACACTTATGTTTTAATTTTTAAAAATTCAAATTGTGGTAAAACACGCATATTTACTATCTTTTTATTTTTTGGGGGAGTAATGGGGATCGAACTTGGGACCTTGCACTTGCGAGGCAGGCAGTAGAACCACTGAGGTAAGTCCCAAACCCTCTTTTTAAATACTTACTATCTTAACCATCTTTAAATTTATAGCTTTATAGTATTTCATATATTCACACTGTTATACAACCAATCTTTGGAACGTTTTCACCTTCCAAAATTGAAATTGTATAGTCAATAAATGATAACTCCCCATTCTCTCTTCCCTCCCCAGTCCATGGCAACTACCATTCTATTTTTTTTTTTTTTTAATTGGTACATGTTTGTGACATACAATGATTACGTACATCTTGGGGAGCTGGTACAATATTTTATTTTATTTATTTTTATTTTTTATTTTTTTGGTACCGGAAATTGAACTCGGGTCCTTGCACTTGCAAGGCAGGCCACCCAACCGCTGAGCTAAATGCCCGGCCCAATATTTAAAAATTCCTTTTTAAATCGCCTTTCCCTTCCCTCCTTTTCCCGTTCCTGCATCTCTTGGGGCCCTATACACGTTTCTAGTACATAATGATAACATTCCTCATAGGTGCTTGATGCATGGAAACAATGCTTCACAATCCACCCCCACCCTGGTAAATCTCATTTCCTACCTGCTCCCTCCATCTCTCAGTGTTCTTCCCGTATGCTAAAGATC